TCTCTCCCTCTCCCTTTCCCTCCCTCTCTCCCTCTCCCTCTCTTCCTCTCCTCCCCCTCCCCCTCCCCCTCTCCCCCTCTCCCTCCCTGTCCCTCCCTCTCTCCCTCTTTCTTTCTCTCCCTCTCCCTCTCTTTCTCTCTCTCTCTCGCTCCCTCCCGCTCTCTCGCTCCCCCTCCCTCTCTCCCTTTCTCCCTCTCTCATCCCAACCTATCTCACAAGGCTGTTGTTGTGGTAAACATAGGAAGCAAGAATATTATTTATGGGGTTTTTTGGGCCCCCGGTTGACCGATATAGAAAAACGAGCAGGATAAAATGGTGGCAGTGATCCATCAAGGGATGCCCTTTTTCATTCAGATGTCAGCCATGATTTCCTACCCAAAGTTTACACAGATCCAAATCTTTCCAAGAATCATCCTAAACTTGGATTAGCGAGATAGCAATTTGTTTTACTGAAAGCGACTTGCGACCGTTGATATCGCGCACTGGCCAGAGCCCCTCTCTGGGGTAGATGGACAGTGAAGAAATATGAAGTATACATAATGAAATGAAATAAAATACAGGTCACCCTCGTCTTAGAGCAGTTCATTTAGTGGCCGTTTGAAGTTACAATGGCGCGAAAAAAAGTGACTTGTGGCCATTTTTCACACATGACCATCGAAGCATCCCCCCAGCTCGTGTGATTTACATTCGGATGCTTGACAACTGATTCATATTTATGACAGTCGCAATGTCCCAGGGTTACGTGATCCCTTTTTGCGACCTTCTGACGAGCAAAGTCAACGGGGAAGCCAGACTCATTTAACAACCGTGTTACTAATTTAACAACTGCAGTGATTCGCTTAACAACTGTGGCAAGAAAAGACGTAAAATGGGACAACATCAGAGGTGGTATTCAGCAGGTTCTGACCAGTTCTGGAGAACTGCTAGCGGAGATTTTGAGTAGTTTGGAGAACCGGCAAATCCCACCTCTGACTGGCCCCGCCCCCATCTATTCTCTGCCTCCCGAGTCCCAGCTGATTGGCTGGGTCTTCTTTGGTTGCCCTGCATAGGAGAACGGAGCTGGAAAGCAGGTTAGTGGGGTGTGGAGGGAATGGGGATTTTGCAGTATCCTTCCACTGCCATGCTGACCAAGCCACACCCGCCCAGCCACCCTACGCCCACCAAGCCATGCCCACAGAACCGGTAGTAAAATTTTTTGAATCCCACCACTGGGCGAAACTCAACACATTTCTTACTGAACGACCTAAATTTTGGGCTAAGTTGTGGTCGTAAGTCAAAGATGACCTGTATATAAACAGGTTCTTCTCCATAAACAGGTTAAAATCATAACAAAAATGGCAATCGTAAAGTTGGAACAGTAAAATAAATTCCAGGCATCAAGACTATACTTATAGATTGGGGAACATACTGTAATCAAACACACATCACGCTGCCAGACGGAAAAACACAACATCTGTGCCCCCAAAGCTGGAACAGCTGGGTTTTCTTCAATCCTAACATACATAGTCCTCGACTTGTGACCATAATTGAGCTGGAAGTTACAACTGTAAGTCATTGTTGCTGTAAATTGAGGCATCACGTGAGCAGATTCGAAGTTACGACTGGTTGTGTTGTGGTTCGCCGGCAGCAGGTGCGGACGGCTGAGGTCTCGGAGAGTGAGGACTCAGATGAGGGGCCTGCGTGTGATGCAGGGATGGGGCCAGGACCATCAGGGAGTGGAGATTGTGGAGGCTGGCAGCAGTGATGAAGAGGACCCTGAGTAGACTGTGCCAAGTGCGTGTGCGCGCAGGGCTGCTCAAAGGAAAGAGCAGCTGCAGCAGCATGGGTGACTCGGGAGTAAGGCTGCAAGGTGATGGCCCCTCCCTGAGGAGATAAAAGCCAGCTGAGAAACCGGAGTTCTTTGCAGGAAGCAAAGAAGTTTTTGCACTCAAGCCTTGTTGGACGTTCAGAATATCTTGGTTGGTGTTTGGAGACTCTTTGTGTTTGAAATACTGTATTTCTTAGTAACTTTTTCTTAGTTCTTGGCAGCCTTGCACACAACCTTGGTAAGGTTCCTTCTTATCAGAGACAAATTGGTTTGAAACAGCCTTTTAATTGTGTTGGAAAGGAATTTGTAAAGAATCATTAAAAGGTTTTGCTGTTACCGCTGTTTTGTGTTTGTTTCCTTGGAACAAGCTTTGGGTCAGAACAAGTTGCTTACTACAGGGGTTAAACAAATGCCGTGAACGTTGAGCTAACACGACGGTCACTAAGTGAATGCTGTGATTAAGTGAATCAGTTTTCCCCCATAGGTGGTTTTTGATGGAAGTAAATGTGAGGAACCAGCAACAACAACAAAAAAAGTTGGAAATTGTAGTCGTACGGCCATGGCACACTGCAAAGCACCATAAAAGGAGCTGGCTAGCAAGGAACTAAAACGATGCAATCCGGTGACTGGGGGATGGGTGTGTGGCTGTCATAACTTCGGAAATGGGTCATAAGTAACTTTTGGGGGTGTCCATCATAGCTTTGAATGGTCATTAAGCAGCCAGTGGTAAGTCGAAGATTACCTGCAATAATCTGGTTTTTCTCTTATTTTTTGCTACCTTTTGTTTCTGAGCCGAAAATCTTCCAAACGCTTTAACTTTCCAAACAATTAATCAGTGGAACAACTTGACTCCAGAAGTTGTGGATGCACCAATGCGGGAGATTTCCAAGAAGAGATTTTCAACTATTTGTCTGAAATAGCATAATGTTTCCTGCCTGAGCAGGGGTTGGAATAGAGGACCTCCAAGGTCCCTTCCAACTCTGTTTTCTATTCTGTTCTGTTCTGTTCTGTTCCATTCCGTTCCTTCCTGTCCCGTCGTATTTATTTCTATTTCTATTATTCCTATTCCAACTCCTATTCTAGTCTAGTCTAGTCTAGTCTATTCTATTCTATTCTGATTTTTTACTTTATTCTACTCTATTCTGAGTGCTTATTCTATCCCTATTCCTATTCCTATTCCTATT